CGTCGCGCCGCTCGAGGAGGAAGCCAAATAGATTGAAAGTTTAAGGGTGAACAGCACTCAAAATAATGTAATAAAAAATATTGGCTAGAGGTCAAGATATTTATGAACGCGTGTTTAAAGTGAATATTATTTCACAACCAGAAGAGTACAAGAAAGTGAATATTATTTAATGAGAATATTAATTATAAAAAATTCACACGTTTACAATTTCAGGTTTTTCTATGAATTTTATTTATTAATCCTTGTGGAATTCATCGTTGTTTCACAAATATTGGCCAAATTAATTGATCAGCTGTTCGGCAATAGTGTCAATATATTACTAATTGAGACCAAGAAACTAAATTTAGTGTTTTCCTTACTTCTGCAATTAAGAAGAAATTTTTCCTCGATGATTTAATTTGTATCGGCTTAGGATTCAAGTTCGTTCAAATAAAGAAAATTTCAACGATATCTACCCAGTTTCATACACGATTCTCTTCTATTCAAGATAACTAGTCCAATATGAAATAAGTACACGCCATATCATTCATCATTCCTAACTTCAGATCTATCTAATTATAGTTTCATATTATAAAAGGAACAAACTCAATTTTAAATTTTCCCCATCTTTCAACATTAATTCCCATTTGTTCCAGGCCTTACTTCAACCGTTTCCCGACATAATTCATGCTAGTTTCAGGCTTTATCTAGGCCCGTTTCAGGCAGTTTCAGGCATCAGCGAAGCGTCACTCCAGCTCATCAGTCAAAGGAGATTTTTAATGAGGTTTTGCGCCTAAGAACGCAGCGTTTGGCTGGGGAGTCTCATTCAAATATGTTAAGTTTTTTGTGTAGCCATAATACAAGTTGTGTCCGTGATAAATGACAGCCATCCATGAGAATTATGATATTACCAACACCGCTCGGTCGTGTGGGGGTGGGGAGATGTAGGGGGAGGGACAGGCCGTAGCGGGGAAAATTTAGAAATGGAAAGAATTGGAATGGAGAGACGAAACAAGATTTAATTTATTTATTTAAGTTATTTTAAAGTTAGAGTTATTTAAGAGATAAGAACAAGATGGGAGCGAAATTTTGTTCAACATAAGGGAATTTCAGAATGTCATTAATGAAGAAATAAGATAATATAAACGTTGTGCATAGGTTTGTTCATCTGAAACATTGCGGTGACATATAATATGCATACTTATAAACCCACGAGACTCAATAGAGCTAATTAGCTCATATTGCAACAGTGGGAAGGTGCACCATGGAGTTATATACATTATGTATGATGCGTTATGTAACACCAATGATCTATACAAATAATACGTAATACAACACGCGCTCGATGGGCAGACGTTAGCCACGTGCGTAATTGATATTGTATTTAATTTTCTATATTGAGTGAGGATACACGGAAATTAGAGCATGTAAAGCGTTTTTTTTATGATTGCTGTAATAAAACCCGATAGACAATAAGTGCGAGATCCAATGTTATGTATTGATACATTTACTTGAGGATCACACGGTGACACCCTGAATTATGTGTAACTGAAGGTACGGCAAAGTACAAGTACGACGACATAAGATTTGACTGCAAAAGTACAGCAAGTAAAGTTGTACACTATAGGACCAGATATTGCAGGTACTATAGTGCGAGTACAGTGTAAGCTGGAGGCTGCAACGCAAGTTCAAAAGTAGGTACAGCAAATAAAGTAGGACAGTAGTACACTAGGACCAGGTATTCCAGGTACTACAGGGTTAGTACAGTGCGAGCTGAATGCTGCAGCACGAGTTCAAAAGTACAGCAAATCCAATAGCCGAGGTCATTCGTTTGAGACGCCGGCCGCTAATTCGATAGCGCGGCGAGTTACAGATTTGGCTTATATACTTCCAGGGGATGGGTTGATTTTACATCACTTTATACGCCGGCATCGATTCTAGTCAATAGTTTTAAAAAGCAAATAAAAGATTTTAACTATTAAAACGCGATTTTGAACAAACTAAGGAAGTAAATTTTGGAATAATGTGTACTCAGAATATTTTTTCAATTTAGAAATTAAGACGTAAAGTGACGATAACGAAATTCAGAATAATTAATTCCGATTTTTAAGGAGATAGCAAAGCCTGATTCGATAAATCCCATCCATAGATGACAAGCCTGACAGGCAATTCGAACTGTTCAAAACTTGGTCAAGTAATTGACGAACAAGTGACAAGTTTCGATGGAACCCGCGAAGACATCAGCGACATTTGCTCATCAGGAATTTCATGTAAATCGAGAAGAATATAAATAATTGTTGAATAGACAATGAATGCGTGAAGACATGACTGTTGCCGATCTAGCTTCCTCAAATTTATTCTTATTGCGTTGTACATAATTCGCAAATTATCGTGACAGATTAGTAGAAATTCATATTCTTTTAATTAATTTCAAACAGCGAAATTTCAAAGCGATTGTGACCAATCGTCTGCAAAAATAGTAAATTGGAAATCAGTTCACAATAAGAACAATGAAAATATTATAATCAATCGCCTATTACGAATATATCATATCAGTAATACAAAATTTTAATTCTCGAAAATTGTAGTTTATAAAAAACTTCCAAACTATGAATTGAATAATTTCGTCTCCGGATAACAGCAGTTCCGACCAAAACCAAAATTTCTTTGTAAAAATTATGGTTTCGTAAAAATTTCTCGCCGGATAATTTTTCCCTTGACGCGTGCGGAAGATGCGTGCTGGTAATCTCGAAATGCAACACGGAAAACAAGGAAAAAATGTTCACGCATGTCAAAAAATTGAGTTACACGATAAAAAAATTAGAATTGAGTTATAAGTTGAGGGACGCGACAGACTTCGATCGCAGCTAACGCGATTAGCGCAACTTGGCGCTGCGCTATAGGGGCTATAGCAGGGGGGGCTATATAGGGGAGCTGGGTGGTTGTAGGAGGGGGGGTTATATGAGAGTTGGAGAGGGGGGGTGTTGTTTGAGGAGGGAGGGTTATATGAGGGTTGGGGGGGAGTCTATATGAGGGTTGGGGTGGGCTATATATGTATGTAATGGGAGTATAATTATAATTGATATGTAATGCCGTGTTGGAAGTGTAGATGTACGTGTTGTATTATGTGGTGCTTCCAGGTGGAAGATGAGTAAGGACTGGAGAAAGTGGCTGGAATGAGCCAATATATCCAGCCAATGTATATATTAAGCGGGTCACAAAAATTAAATGGTAGTATTTACCAATTTAATATAATTTTCAGAATATAATTGGTAGCTGGATTATCTGAGATAAAATTATTGCATTAGAGCTCTTCAATTAAGTACCAGGTACAGACGACTGAACAGATGACAAATTATCAATCATAGGCTTCTTCAAGAGCTATAACAGCCTACGAAATTAGGCAAATATAGACGCACGTTCGCTCATGTTCATAATGAGCACTGGGCCAATTCCGTGTGTCGCAAACATTCCAGATTATTTACAAGCTCAAGTTTTTTCTCGGCCCTTCAAATTAAGTTTAATTCATCTTTTTGGTTGCAATCTCGCATAAAGCGCGAGGCAGCGCACCGAAGAAAAAAGACAGGAGATAAAAACCTTAACTAACTTATCAGCTGTCAAAACCTTTTAAACAAAATGCAAGCGCACGATGAGCCCTATTTTATCAGGGCCGATTTTTGGGGGCTTTTCTCGCAGAATTTCGCTCAGAGTCGACGTGAATTTTTGGAGAAACTGGGGAAATATGAACGATATATTTCGGACGCTAGGCCTATAGTGCAACAGCAGTGAGATGGAAATGCAGAGGAAAGGGTGACGCGAACCCAGCCGGCCTCTCAATATCATAGTTATAAATTTCAAAATTGATTTCTTTCAATTATTTATAAGACTACAATACTAGACTTATTTAACTTAAACGATAACTGTACCGATGATTATTGAACGATTCCGACGCAGGATCGAATTGGAGGGAAAAGAACATGAAAACTAGATTTAAAATACACATGAACACTTCATCGCAATCCCAGTTTCACAATTCACGTGAATAACTGCGAGTAATCTTAGACTGTTGTTACATCTGCCATGCAGTTACAGGTTACATTACAGTTACTGCCTCTTAGAACTGTGTCTGAGTTATAAAATTTTTATGGTGATTATATTCATGACTTGGAAAAGCAAGTAGAATTGTAAATAGTTGAAATGTCGATGAAATGGAACGAAGTTGCTTTCAACTCAAGTTAGAAAAGGGAGCGGGTATGGATACAACTGCAGGAGGCGCACTAGCAGCAGCGGGTGCAGCTAACTAGCAGCAGCAGGTGCAGCTAACTAGCAGCAGCAGGTGCAGCTAACTAGCAGCAGCAGGTGCAGCTAACTAGCAGCAGCACCATTGTACACAAGCACGTCAGGTGTGCTTAATGCTTGCAGCACCAAGCACACCTGGAAGGCGCTTGAATGAAGCAAGTGTAACACGCATGTGAAGCAAGTGCAGCAGGTGTATCAGGTGTAGTAGGGGTATCAGGTGGAGTAGGGGTATCAGGTGGAGTAGGGGTATCAGGTGGAGTAGGGGTATCAGGTGGAGTAGGTGCTTCAGGTGCAACAGTACTCACGGGATTGGGCAGGTGCGGAGCCCCTGGCAAGACGGACTGACGAGCAGGTGCTTCAGGTGCAACAGTACTCACGGGATTGGGCAGGTGCGGAGCCCCTGGCAAGACGGACTGACGCCTTACCTGCAACAAAAAATTCAACGTCAGGTGTGCTTAATGCTTGCAGCACCAAGCACACCTGGAAGGCGCTTGAATGAAGCAAGTGTAACACGCATGTGAAGCAAGTGCAGCAGGTGAAGGCGCTTGAATGAAGCAAGTGTAACACGCATGTGAAGCAAGTGCAGCAGGTGTATCAGGTGGAGTAGGGGTATCAGGTGGAGTAGGGGTATCAGGTGGAGTAGGGGTATCAGGTGGAGTAGGGGTATCAGGTGGAGTAGGGGTATCAGGTGCAGCAGGTGCTTCAGGTGCAACAGTACTCACGGGATTGGGCAGGTGCGGAGCCCCTGGCAAGACGGACTGACGCCTTACCTGCAACAAAAAATTCATATTATTATATGAATTATATTTCTATGAATGTTATATTCGTAGAAAAAATATAACTCAGTACTCACTTCAGTGAGTGACAGAGAGCACATTTTCTCGTCGACAAAAACTTTGAAGTCACGGACAGACAGACGGACATGACGAGCACAATAGGGCATTTATTCCGTAAATGAGAAAATGCGCTAAAAACATGAAGCGGTATCTCCATTAACCTCGTACTGGACTGCTGCTGTAATTAACATTGCAGAGTAACATTCTATTTTTCCATTATTTGGGATTGCTGCATGCTTTTTTCACATTTAATAAACAATGCATCATATATTTCATTTATTAAGATTAATTGAGATTGTTGTAGAGCGTGTGTTTTGACAGTTATGAAGCTATGCATCATATTAGTCATTTATTACGATCAATTGGGATTGCAGCATATTATACCATATTCACAGTTGATTGGGCAGTTAAATAAGACAGTTACTTGAGTGAAAAAAGACAATCTGAAGATTCTCTGGATAATTAGTCAAGCTTTAATTATTAATTAAGAAGCCTTCAGTTAAATATCTGCCCATACTTGAAGCCTGATCCTGGAATGCGCGGATATTGAGAGGACATCGAAGACATTTTTGGCAATTATGTTAAATGAAATTACTGAATTTGCTAGCAGTTGGAAAATCTCAATAAAATGGCAAAAATACTTGAATAACTTATTCAAATGCTATAAAACTAATCAAGATTCGATAAAACTAACGACAATACAAAAATCTCTAATAGGAGATACTAAAATGAGAAATAATACGTAGAATATAGCTTGCAAAAAATTGCTTTTACTCGTATTATATGCAGGTATTTTGTGTACAACCTGGGGACTCTTTTTGACTAGAATCTTATCTAAATTTTGGGTGAAATCAAGCCACAAATTTTGGTCAGTTGATTTAGATGTTGAAGAAGTCATTTTTCCGACCAGACGTGTCAAGAATGTTAAGTGCCTCCAACCGGTGCATAAATGCCAGCGACTTAATAAAAAGCTTCATAAAACTTCGAAACCAGGCAAGATCTAAAGGTCAAAATAAATTCCGCTACAATCATCCTTATTATTATGAGTTCCTATATGAGTTTTATTGATAATTCTATTATAGTGCATAGAATTATAATATAATATTTTATGTATTACTAGAGAAAAAAATTGCCCGTGGGTTATTTATCATAGATTATTCTACATCACGGCTATTATGAAACCGACGAAAAGAAAAATTATCCCGTGCCGCAAAATAAACATGATTACTAATCGGTAAAAAAACATATAAACCGATGTTCAGGCCAATGAACATGCTAAAAGAACATATAGAATATCAAAGTCTGCCATAAAAACATTCGAAATAAACACGAGATGCCTAAATCAAGAATCAACTGAACGAAAAGTTATGTAGTTTTTTGTTTAAATATTTTGAGATGATGAAGACGTCGAAGAGACGTAAAAATGTCGTAAAAGTTGGCAATAAAAAGCGTAATTAAGAGTCTTCCAGTTTTGTCAAACAGGCTCATCGAGAGGCTAAAGCTCGGCAGCTCCATGGCAGGTGTATGATGACTTAGCCAAGTTCACACAAGTCGGTAATTTGACGAATGTTAGAAGTTTCGGGCTAAATATGTCAAAGGTAAGTTTAAATAACATGTGTATATTATTTATCGGTTGTAAGCTAGTTGAACAAAAAGTAATAGAGCTGTATTATTGTATGTATCTAGACTACAGATCAAATTCCAGATCGTAAAATGTAGCATTCCTTCTTCATTAATTAGAAATATTATTATACAATTATAAATAAATACCAGAACTTGAGCAATCTGACATCATGGCCAGTAGCGTGAAGTGCCATTAGATCAGATTGAAAAATAATTGAAGCTAAACCGCATATTTATTTCAACGTCTCTATTTGGAAAAATATACATAGGCAAGTGAGCGTTCAAAAAGTCAACAACTACAAATCGTCTCGAAATTCATTCGTCACTACAAAAAGAAATTTTGATATTTTATTCAGTTTTTTTTTCTAGGAAAGATTGTTACTCGCCTTCAAAATAAACAATTTAGTCCATCAAATTGCCAGAGTAGTTGACGACAAGGGGAAAAAACATGCCTAAAAGAGTAGGCAAAAATCACAGACTGAAAACCTGCAAAATCATGAATTTAATTATATCTAATTAAAACCGCGGCGATTATTCGGGGTTGCCTGAAGACGAATTAGTTTTGAATTAACACATCCACGCCAGTTGATTTAGTCAATTTAATCAAACCAAATCAGCGCTGCCGTTAAATCACGGCTTTGTCTAGCAACAAAATCAAGCCCAGCTTTAGAATGCACGCAGATATAGGAGCAGCTGCCGGACCTCAAAACTTTCTTCCGAGCAAGTTATTTAGGTTGTGTTATGATGTTTATGATGACCAAAATTTCATCACTCAATGCGCCTTTCAACTTGATAATGAATGATTGATACATTTGAAACGTTGTTAAAAAAATAAAAATGTTCCTCGGTACGCTATTGGAACAAATTTTGACACCCAATACTAATGTTGTGTAATTATGATTGCACATTTTTTAAATATCCATGTTGTATTATTAACGATTATTTTAAGTATCATCTGTCTGAAACTAATTATTCATTGAATCTTCACAGCTCCCACGACCTATCATTTGAGGCTTCATAATTGCTCAAAGTCGATTAATTTTTAATTGATTTTTTTCAATTTAGCATTCTTCAACAAAACGACATTGACCCTAACAAAATTTAAAGTCACCCCAGCTTCTGGTAATTCAAATCAGAAGCTGCCGCGTCTGTAAATTTTCACTGGGGAGAGTTTGATCTTCTTACTATTAATAATTTGCTATTGGGTGGAAAATAAGATACCTTGAAAATAATTTAAATTGTGAGACAATATTAGCAAGTTTCAATGCATTATTTAACGCACATTCCCAGGTCGAGTAAGAAACTAAACTCGAAGGAAAAATATTGTATTATATTTCAGGACTAATTCGGAAGTGTCACTGTTTCCGCAAAAAGGCATTGGGTGCTCAGGAAGCAGCACATTTTCGGTAAGTATTACATCTGCTTTAAAGAAGTTCTCACCTACCTGCGCGCAAATGTAAATTGGAGCAAGTAACTCTCCTTGAGCTCCGCGGCTTCGCACCAAAAATTTACATTTCTTCTGAAATTATTGAAAGAAAAGTTCATTTTGCTTTGCCACGCTCGAGTTTGCTTGCTCTACAAGTAGAATAGAAGCGTTTATTTCAAGCATATATTCTTAAGGGTAAAATTAAGGACCCTCGGGTGATACAACATTTACTTGTTTATGTTTGCCCTGTTAAATTTTTTGTTGTTTGCCTTGGATTAAAATATTAATAACAAACTGAATGGAAAATAATGTTACATCAGTTCCAATATACATCAATCAAAATGAATAATTTCGTAATTATACTACCAAGAAATACTCGTTGACTGCGAAAAAATTTGCAATACTAACGGACAGCTTCCCTAAAAATCTATAAAATCCAATTTTTAGTCATGATGCCTGGCAAAAATATGTATCAGTGCTACATGCAAAAAAACATCACTATTCGGACAATATGACTCAAGCAATTTTCTGAGTGAACACTATAAAACAGTTTTAAAGTTAGATAATTCGAGTTTAATTAGACAAATTCGGTATTTGCTGCACTGAACGCTTGCACTATCAGCAATTCGCTCCATAGAATAATAGTTGCATTTCGATCAGATATTCTTGGCTGAATAACAGACAGAGATAGAACGCTGCATGGAAATCTTCGACGCAGGATTCATTTAACTTCACAAATGGAGGTGAACCGAGAAAGAGAAGTGCCGAGTCATCGCCCCAAGTTCAGGGCTAATACGTTAAATATTTGAGCGAGTCCGAGACACACCCTGAACCTATACACTGAAACTAAAAATACATAACACGCTATTTACACCACCCACTAACATACACACCGCCCCAGCATAATATACATACACACACACACACACACAACACACACACACACACACACACGTATATTTCTATACAAAAGTCTACACTCGAGGTCTGTAGCATGCAAGTAATTGTACACTGATCGCTCTTGTGAAGGGCTGTGATATTTAAATTGAAGTTAATTGGCTAAGATACTTTTCTAATCAACGTAGCCAACTTTGGTGGTTAATTTAATGAATATTGAACTCGTACAACTTGCCCTTCAATCCTCACTGAAGTTGAGAAAATTAATATCGAGAATGAATAATAATTTAATTTAGAAGATTGATTCAGAAAATTAATATTGAGAATAATGCAGGATCGATTTCCATACGAACGAGAACTATTGAATTGACCAGACAATTTCTCAGGAGAAACTGCAAGTCATGTGGGACGCTCTACTATCAAAACAGACCCGAAATATTGAAGAGTATGTAGAATTATCTTGCTCTATTATCCCCGACTACTTCTTTTACTATTATTCTTAGTTTATTTGCCAATAGAATACAGATTAGATCATTGGATTGTATTAAATCTTAAAAAACACCGTTTTTCATATTATGCGCGAAAAGATTAAATTATTCTAAATTATTATCCCCCATTATTTCTTGATTATTCTTGATTAACACTTTAACTGAGTGGATCAAGCAGTAGACAATTTCGAAAGGCATGGATTCTTTTTTGAATTAATTTCATATTGGATAAGCTAAGGAAGCCATGGAAAATACACACAAGGTTTAGACCAGGGGCCATACTTTCAAAACGCGCTAAGTGAACGTAAGTACTTACACTCTATTTTCTTGTCCTTGATTGGTGGATTTTGCTTGAAAGGCCGTCAATGATTGGCTGATGAACTTACGACGATCTCTTAACTTTTTTGAAAGTATAGGACCAGGTAATTCTAATTTCGTCCATAGGTAAAAGCAAGCCATGGCGGGAGTGAGCGTCGCAGTCAACATGGGGCGCTTTACTA